ATCTATCTGAAGAAAACAAAATCACAGATTCAAAAAAACATATGCACCCTTATGTTTATCACAGTACTATTTACAATGGCCAAGACATGAAAGCAACCTAAGTGTCCATCAATAGATGAACGATAAAGAAAATGTGGTACATACACACAGTGGAATATTCAGCCATTAAAAAAAAAAAGAAGTCCTGTCATTTGTAACAACATAGATCTAGAGGGTATTATGCTCAGTGAAATAAGCCAGGCAGAGAAACACAAATACCATATGATTTCACTTATTTGTGAAATATAGAACAAAGCAAAACAGAAGGAACAAAAACAGCATCAGACTCAGAAACACTGAGAAATGACTAGTGATTACCAAGGTAGGGGTGGAGGTGGAGGGGAACTATTAAAGCACTGTGATAAACATTTGATAATAAAAATAGTAATAGAAAGCTAAAAAAAAAAAGTTTGATAGGATTTGTCTTAAATTGATTGACTTGTGGCCTAACCTGTGATCTACCCTAGAGAATGTTCCATGTGCATGTGAGAAATATGTGTATTCTCCTGATTTTGGATGGAATGTTTTGTAAATGTCTGCTAAATCCATCTAGTCTAACATACCATTTAAGCCTAGTATTTCCTTACTGGTTTTTCTGTGTGGACAATCTGTTCTCTGATGAAAAGGAAGTTTTGAAGTCCTCTGCTGTTACTATATTGTTATTTTTCCCTTTAGCTCTGTTAATATTTGCTTTATATATTCAGATGCTCCTGTGTTGAATGCATAACAAATGTCATATCATCTTGTGGCCTGATGCCTTTATCATTCACTGTATAATAACCTTGTTTCTTATTACAGTCTTTGTTTTAAAGTCTATTTTTCTGACATAAGCATAGCTCCTCCAGCTTCTTTTGATTTCCATTAGCATGGAATATATTTCCATTCCTTCACTTTTATGTCTTTAAATCTGAATGCCGTATAGCCAGCACATAGTTGGATCTTATTTTTTTATCCATTCAGCCACTGTCTTTTGATCAGAAGCATTTAGTCCATTTACATGTATTTATATGTATGGGCTTATAGCCATTTTTTAAATTGTTTTCTGGCTGTCCTGTAATTCCTTTGTTCCTTTCTTCCCTTAATCTGTTCTCTAATGATTTGGTTATTTTCTGTAGTGGTATGCTTAGATTCCTTTCTATCTTCTGTGTATGTACTATAGGCTTTTGCTTTATGGATACCATGAAGCTCACATAAAACATAACAGTTTGTTTCAGGTGATAAAACCTAAGTTCAAATACATTGTAAAGCTCTACATTTGTACTCTCTACCCACCCCATGTTTTCTATTTCTGATGTCACAGCTTACATCTTTTTATCTTATTACAAATTATTTTCACTACTTTTGTCTTTTAACCTTCATACTAGATTTGAGTAACCCACCACCATTACACTGTTATCTGAATTTAAATTTACCTTTACCATTGAGACTTACACTTTCATGTTTTCATGTTATTAATTAGCATCCTTTCATTACAGCTTTAAAAAATCCCTTTAACATTTTTCGTAAGGTCTAGTGTTGTGAATGCCTTTAGTTTTTCCTTCTCTGGAGAACTTCAATTCTGAAGGATAGCTTTGCCAGGGAGAGTATTTCTTCATTTCTTTCAGCACTTTGCAGGCTGGAAAAGAGTGGAATAATATATTCAAAATTTCTGCTGAAAAATCTGATGGTTCTATGGGGGGGGGGTTCCCTTGTACATGTTATTTTTCTTGTGCTGCTTTTAAGAGTCTATCCTTGATTTTTAACTTGTGGCTATTTGTCTTGGCGTGGGTCTTTTTGGGTTCATCTTACTTGGAATTTCTGGGCTTCCTGCATCTGGATGTCTTTTCTGACCCCACGTTAGGGAAGTTTTCTGCCTCTCTGTCTTCTCCTTTGAGACTACTGTATGGGATAATGTCATGCTGATCAATATTCACATGTTTCATAAGCTATAGTCACTTTTTTTCATTTCTTTTCTTTGCTGTGATTGAAGGAGTTCCACTACCCTTTGAGCTTAGTGATCCTTTCTTCTGCCTCATCTCATCTGCCTTTGAATTCCTCCTTCTTGTTCAGTTCATTTATAGTATTCTCTCACTCTGATGTTTGGTACTTTCTTCGTGCATTGTTCTCCTGACATTGGGGAGCATCTTTATGGACTATTATTTTGAACTCTTTAGCAGGTAAATAGATCACTTTCTCCATTTCTTTAAGGTCTTTTTCTGAGGTTTTATCTAGTTCTTTCATCTGAACCTATTCCTCTTCATTTTCCCTGGCTCCGTGTTGGTTTCTATGCATTAGATGAAACAGCCACCTCACCCAGTTTTGGAGTGGTCTCATGAGGAAATAAACCTGATATTCAGCCCTGCCCTAGCTTTTGGTTGGCTCTCAAACCTTTGTGATTATCCAAGCAGCCTTATTTGTTCTTGGTGGCCCCCAGTAGTTGAGGGTATGCCAAGACCTGCAAGTGTCCCAAAGAGGAGGAAGGATCTCAAGTCATCACCTAGATGCAGGCTGATTGGAAGCTGGACCCTCAGGCCACAGCTATTAAGATAAGCAGATAGGCTTCTTTCATGGAAAGAGTGTCACTTCCAAAAGTTAAAACCTTGCTTGTGTGTTTAATAATCCTGCACTGAAGTAGAGCCTTAGATGATGGTATCATAACTACTGGCAGGTAAGCTTCAAAGTTACTATATTTCAAAAAAAATCACTGTAAATGTCTATTATACCATGAATATTGGTCCATCCTCTACTATGTCATATACTTTATAATAGATGCTCAACAGTTTGACCATACAATTTCAGTCAGTTCCAAGTCCAAGACTGAAACTCAGTACTTACAGACTAGAGATTTCTAACTTGAATGTAATGATCCTGCTCCATATTTGAAAAATGAGCAAAAAGTTATAGTGTGTTTGGCTTTATTACGAAGTGACAGTTGTTACTTGAAATCCTTCTAAAGGCATGTTTTGTTTTTTTTTATCCTTTCTAGATGTAATGTTCCTGAGAAGATAGCATTTTCCCACAGGAAGCTATATTTGTACCCCTGGATTTAGAGACATGGTTTGCATACAGAAAAAAAAAAAGAGGTGATCTTTATAAGTCATCACTTTCAACTTCAGTAGAATGACAGAATGGTAACAATAACCTTGCTGTTTATTATACTTTGTATATTTCCTATTCAAAGTCTTACATGTGCTATGCTCTGTACTATTAATATAATGTATGACATAATTGTAAATACTCAACTTTTTGTGATAACTTTTATATTTTGAAATACCTCCTTTAAAATAAAATTATTGACTAGATATTTATAATGTTTTCCTGAATTTGGAGACAGAAAAAAAGATAAAGGTAGCTTCAAGCTATCTTTACCACTTTATGATAAGTTTGGGCAGCAGAGATGTTGTTAACAGTGCTAAAAGTCTGAAAAGAGAAGTTTATACAAATGAAGGCTCTTTGACAGTAAAGTCAGTAATTGAAAGAATAAATGAAGCTATAAGCTTGTATCTCCTGAGTTGTTATATTGCATACTGTGGAACTCATCACAAAATTATATCATTTGACTTCCCCTGAAGACATCCATTATTCAGAATCTTCCCCGTATTACATCCCATACTTACCCTACATCAGTATATGCTTCCTTGCCATCCAAGGTCAGTGTCACCATAGTCTGAGCAGCTGACAGAAATGAGTCATGTGACCTAGCTTTAGCTGATGTGATATTTTACAGTACAGCTGCCACCACCACCATGAGCATTACAGATGTAGGTACTTGCAAGCCTAGGGTAGAACTTAAAAGTGCCAACTTCTTTTATAGCTTCCAGTACCCACATGCACAATGCCTCCAGCTTTATGATCTACTCTCTTGTTTTCCAAAGGTTGGGAAGAGAATAGGCTAGAGCCTTGGCCTTACTATTAAATCATTATCTCATTAAACCCACCCACTGTCCCATTGTTTTTCTGTTATCACTGGAGGTATAGTGTAAGGTTATAGGAAGGAATAAGAGGCCTAGAGACTTGGAATCTGAGAGTAAGCACATTGTATTTTGAAAGTTATGGGCTTTAGACATTCATTAATGGGTATAACTGTACCAGAACCTATTTAGAAAGATTCTCCCTAGCACATGCAACAATGTACTCCTTGTTACCACTTCAAGAGGCCAAATAATAGACTACCAAAACTTAATTAAGCATAAAGAAGAGTAGTTTGTTACAGATTACAAAACAGCCAAGACTAAATGACTCTCAGAAAAGTATGCAGACTTATGCCGCAAGAATGATGGGTGGCAGCTGGTGGCCCCAATGAGGATTTACTGGATGCTCCAATTAGTATCCAATCCCAACACACACTGTTTAGAGTCACGTCCATACTGTCGTGGAACCACCGACTCCTACCTGTCGTTAGCCTCAGCCACACACTTCATGGTTGTCAGGGCTTCAGGAGGAACCAAACAGACCCATGTTCTCATCCTCATATTTTAAAGAGCATATTTATAATCTCTAATCCTAAAAGTTACTTATCTTATACACTGATTATGCCAATCATGTTTAGAGCATTTATACTTAAAAACAAAATCATAATGAATAAGGATACTATTCATTGTTCTGGCTACAGTGAAATTAGTCCCATTCCTGAGGAGTGCAGAATAAGTAGGCAAACATGACTTGCATATCCAAAAGCAACAGAAATGGAACAATATGCATAAGAAAGCCATGCTAATAACCCCACTGGTGAGGTGAGGGAGTCACGGAAATCATCACTGAAGCAGAAGTTTCAAGCCAGACTCAAACAAAGAGAGGGGCACGGTTCAGTAGGCAAAGGCTTAAAGCAATGTTTTATTCCCATAATGAATGCAATCTACATGAAAGACATTTTTCATACTGGTAAATACACTTTAAATATCTCAAGAACTTTATGTCTCACCTCCCAAACAAGACTGTAAGTTCAAAAAGGCAGGGAGTAATATCCTGATTTTACATTCTTCTTAGTACATACCTCACAGAAGTAGCACATGCCTCTGAGCATTTACTAAGACTAAAAATTAGCTAGACACTTAAATTCCAGGCTAGTCTCATAGCCTCAGGGCCTATTGTACAATATTATAAAGTTCCAGCAGGCTCTGTGGGAGCCATCACAAGGCAGAACCAGATCTCCCAGGGACAAACTAAACAAAGGCCACTGTTCACTTTGTCCCAACCAAGAGTGACATTCAAGAGTCTGCCCCAGCCTAACCCCTACTGGTTTGGACCTGATGAGTGGAGAGTCTGGAAGTATAACGATGTCTGAGAATCTTCTTACCACCACCCATACCCTCTAATAATAATAACAAGGCAGCCTCTCCATGAGATTCTCTTCATAGCAGAGATATGGTGGCATTCATAGAGGTAACAAAGTTGGAAATTAAAAGTTCTGACCCTTCAACTATCAAAGTTATGCTTCACACAATGGGTTAATAAGAAATATAGTTAGCTTTTTATCTAATCATTTGCAAATTAATAAGGAAAGTGATATACCAACATATTTTACTGTACAAGATGATAATCTTAAGAATTTGTACATATATGTGGAACATTTTTATTTCTAATTTATATTTTGTAAGATATTTGACAATGTACAAAAAATACCCAGTTCTAGGTGGTGATTGTTCTGTATTATGATTTACAAAATTTCACCACATAATAGTAACTACTTTTTAAAAAAAAATACCAGCATTGGTCCTATAAAGGCCATAAGGATAAATTCTTAAGCCTACCAGTCACCTCAGTACCCCTGTTCCCAGGCATACCATTGTTAACTAAAATCTGACTTCAAAGCCCACATGTAGTTTCTGATTCTGATCACACACATTTGGAAGCACAATCTAATCAGATTGAAAGAGGACAGTGGAAGACCCGAGCAGGCCTACCAACCTCTATAAGAGGTGTGCATCGGCCCACTGGTTATATCCTCTCGCCATACCACCATTTATTTATAATGGGACCACTAGGTCGCCCCATTATGCCAAAACATGGTTCCGCTGGGAAAAAAATGAGGCATTCTCTAGACCAGCCAGACTGGTTGGCAGGGTGGGTAAAAAATGGCTGTCAGTAGTGAGAAATGGTTTCATTTCTTTGGACTTTTTCCTTTTCCTTTTCTGGACGCCTTATCTTTTTCTGATCTTGAAGGCTTTGAAGATTTTGTCTTTTTCTGTTGGGAGGGAAAAACATACAAAATAGTTAGCTGCTGTGTTTATGAACGAGTAAATGAAGTAAGTTCATCTTTGTACACAGTAAGCTGACTCTTTACCTACAATTTGAGAAGACAGATTGCAAATACCCAGATCTTGAACTACCACCCTAATGACCTTACTTTCAAATAACAACTGAGCTAGTTATAGCCTTTAACTACTGAAAAGCTGTTTAGAATCTATAACCACAATGTGTTCTGTGTAGTTTCTTTAGGAAAGAAAATAAGCAACAGATAATTTACAAAAGGGTAATGTTTTCATGAAGAATTTCCTTTTTTTTCATTTGCAGATTAGAGAGCTAAACACCCTCAGCTAGAGAAGGGGAGAGAGGGAGACAACCTCCTATGGCTACGCAAATTAGGGCTACACTAGAAGAGGCCTCTGTTCATACACCTGTACATAGTTAACAGGACGTGGCAGAAATGAGGGGCAATAATCACACACACACACATACACACACACGCGCGCGCGCACAAAGGACAGAGGAGGAAAAAGATTAGATTCCTTTGCCTCGGCCAATGGTAAAGCATGGGCTGATATTATAAGTGATTTTCATCCTTCCTAGCAAAAGACAAGGATGTTATGCTCTGAGAAACTTCTACAGGCAGTTCAATGGCTATGGCAAAACACAACAGAAGAGAGAAATGGTTTCATTTAAAGTGCTTTTCTTGATTATGCTGTGGATATGTGTGCCTGTGGGTAAAGCACACACCAGTGGCCAAATAAAAATGGCACTTCTAACCAAGCACACAATCATCAATATGATGGCCTCTTTTCTTGCTACTTGGCTCCTCCTCTGTTACAATAAGCTGACTGCTTATAAAAATGAAATCTACACCTTCTCGACCCTCAACTTGACAAATAAAAAAACTTTAAAGTATTTTCCTCTGCTACTTGCTAAACAGGTCTGAATGATTTCAGAAAGCAAGTTATACACAAGAAAAGATAAACTATTCTGAAGGGAGTATCAGAGCTGCTCTTGTCCATAGCCTAAAATACTACCTTGATCATAGCATCAGTCTCTATAGCATCCTGGTCTTTCTCATCGGACTGAGACTCATCTTCATGTAACTCATCATTGTATTCAGAATCCAGGGCTGGGCCTGTGCTGGGTCTGGATGTCTTTACCGCCTGCAGTGCATACGGAGTAAGGTGCACTTCCTTATTGTACGCTCTTGTAAAGGCTGCTTTCACCTACGGGAAAGGAGTAGAGGGAGTTTTTAGAAAACCTATGTGCCAAGCAATCCTTTTAAATTCTACAGGCCTAAAGGCTTTAAGAGACCCTGGGAGCCACTTGAAATTTTTTCCAAAATACTTATGCGTGTACATGTGAGTGCATGTATGGGCATCTTTCTATTCTTTGTGATACTTTTAATAGAGCCCATGACTCAAAAAGTTAAGAATTGGTATTTGGAAATGTTAGGCAGACAAAAAAGGTCACTTTAAGTCATCACTTTCACCTATTCAGTCCTACAAATTATCATTATTAATAGTTATTTCAAAATACTAAGTAACTTGAAGAGTCTTAGCTTTAAGCTTCTAAACATAATTATAGAATTGGCCCATAGATTCTAACAATATATGTTTCTTGTGAGAATTTATTCACAACCATTAAGTCAGGTCAAAATTCTAGAGAAGGAGAGCCACAAAGAATATGTCTTCTAAAATGACACCAAATAAACGGGCACAAGGGTATTGGATATGACAAATTCATGTTGGTCACCTTAGTTCTTTCATGCCATTATATATAAAGAAAGTAGGACAGACTGTCCAAGTATAATAAATACTGAAACAGACTAGGCAGATTAAGAGAAAAGTATAAAAATCCTCAGCCAGTAAACACTTTCTATTCGTAACGTACTACCACCACCTCACTTTGACTTCCCTAGGCTCACCCGCCCACCCTTACAAAGAATACATTCATAGCTGCTCTTCCTATTTCATGTCTTACTTCTCCATTCAGTAATAAAGCAAAGATTAAACTACACACTGTAAAGTCTAATTAAGAAGTCTATTCTTAAAACTGTACTCAAATAATAACTTTGGAAAGCACAGGCCATAAGAAGCAAAAATCATCCAAGAAAAAAATTGAACCACCTTAAGATATCTAAAACATCTCTGAAGTACTCCTAGCACAAACCTGGTAATTATGAAGTGATGGGAAACCAGTATGTTACACAATTTACCTTGGGCTCCAGCCTGGAGAAGGGACTAGGTGTGCCTCCCCAGCTGCTGATTTCCATGATATTCTCAAAGTCTTCTTTCATCAAATAATATGTGTCCATACAAGTAACAACATCTTGTACTCCTTCAACTCCCTGTGAGGTCAAGGGCTGTACAAGTGCATCCCTTATATGTGACAGATAATCCATGTTTACAGTCCTTTTGCTGGAGTAAGTTCTTAAACCAAAACAAAAGACACACCTGTAGTTAATGGCAAACTACCACAAACTCAACTCATAGTGTGCTGGAGTTCCATACACTTTTTATAATGCTCAATGGAATGCCTACTATTAACAGCTGATACTAGCCAGTGCTTCACCACCAGGGTAAGAGATACACACCTAGGTGCTCAAAGCAAAGTTTCTACTTACCTCGATCAGTGAACAAAAAACACAAATGCAGGTTCTACTTCCATCCTATTCTTAAGGCCCAGGCAACAGTGTTTGTATGTGCTATACTACTTACAGCCAAAGATGATTCATTCCAAGTTCTAAATATAAAGAGCATCAAAAAGGCAGTGAGGATTCCTGCCTCAGGTGCCCCTCCCACTACCTACCTGAGGGTCTATAACACCTTTGGATCTCTGATTATAGCATGCAAAATGACATATGAATGCTTTTCTTACATTCCCTAATGAAGTTAGTCTGAAATCTTTAGTTCTAGAGCAGGGTTTTCCCAAATCTAAGAGAACTGGAGAGAATGCTCCTGCAGAATCCCGAGTGGTCCACACCCTGGCAAGAGCAAGGTTTAGATAAAGTGTCCTGATCCACTGAGAACCCAAATGTTATCATGAAATGGCTTTTTTTCTCTCTCTCTCTTAACTACCGTCATTTAAAGACAGAAAGCTGGTGAACAATAGTTCCAATGCCACCATCCTAAATTTTTCCAACCCAGCTGCCGCTATCTTCAAACCAGGCAATTACATGCATGCACAGTTCAAACAGGACACCTCAAAAGCTGCTGGTTTCAGAACCCACATTAAAATCAGAAAAGAGATGAAAAGTCCCTTTAAAAATAACTTATAGGCCCTGCCCCTGCTCCTGCCTTCAGGTAACTGAATGTCTGAATCGCGAAAATCCATATAATTCTCCTAATGAGAAATCTAGAACCTTGCCCCATGACGGTTTTATTACCTAAGCAAAAAGTTCAAAAAACTGTTTTAAATTTGCCTACTTCCTCTAGGTTCAGTCTTCCACAATCAAGCACACTAGTACTTGAAGTAGGAGACCACACACCACAGTGCTCAAGAAAACCATGAAACCTTTTCCAAAATTATTCTTGCATTATGTTACAAAGTTGTTACCTTCTAGTGGAATCACAGAACATTAAACATAGAAAAGTCTAAAGGTATCATCTGATGTTCTTAAACCAAGGGTTCCTCACCCCAGAAATCTGTAATTCCCTTAAAATTATACTATATGTGCATTAGTACACTTTGTGGGGGAGTAAAGATTAAAGAGCTTTCAGATTCTTAAAAGCATCTATAATCCAAAAAGAGTTAACTAATAATAAAATCACACTTTCATTTTTAAAGATAAAGAGAAACTGAGGCCTCTAAAGTTCAGTGACTCAATCAGAGTTAAAAAGTTAAGCAGGAAGGTCCTAATTTATTTTAGAAATTGTGTAATTCACTATAGGTATCCTTGATGGCGACAATGTCCTGTATATCACTCATTAAGAAACCTTTTTTGAGCAATCTTCTGTGCTAGGTAAGTATGCCTCACTTCCAACCACCAGAAACATTCGGCCTAATGGCAGAAGGGGAGAGACATGCACGGTGCAGCCACACGACGACAACGAAGGCCAGTGCTCACAATCTGCACGGATACAGTGGGAACATGAAAGAGGGACACCCCGAGGCACAGTGACACATCATCTTTGAGAAGCAGTGGGCAGACAGCAGGAACAGAGCTGAGAGGAAGGCCTGGGCAATGACAAGAGCAGTGGGGAAAGCAGCCCTTCCAGCTTCTAGAGGCAGCCTCCATCCCCTGGCACATGGGCCCTTTCTCCAAATTCAAAACTGGCAGCGTAGCATCTTGTTTGATGCCGCTGCCTCCTTTTCTCTTTTTTTGGTAAATACCCTTATAATTACACTAGCCCATCCACATAATCCAGGACAGCATTCCCATCTCAAGATGGGAATAAATTTGCATTGCTGTAAGCCATTACGTTTTGGTAATTTGTCACAGCATCAATAGAAAACAAATACAAGGGTGACAAAAAACAAAACAGAACACTATGCCACAGGCTAGGGAGAGAGCACACAGTGGGAAGGAACAAACACTAGGCCACAAGCTAGGGAGAGCGCAGACAGTGGGAAGGAACAAACACTAGGCCACAGGCTAGGGAGAGAGCACACAGTGGGAAGGAACAAACACTAGGCCACAGGCTAGGGAGAGAGCACACAGTGGGAAGGAACAAACACTAGGCCACAGGCTAGGGAGAGCGCACACAGTGGGAAGGAATAAACACTACGCCACAGGCTAGGGGGAGAGCACACAGTGGGAAGGAACAAACACTAGGCCACAGGCTAGGGAAAGAGCACACAGTGGGAAGGAACAAACACTATGCCACAGGCTAGGGGGAGAGCACACAGTGGGAAGGGACAAACACTAGGCCACAGGCTAGGGGGAGAGCACACAGTGGGAAGGAACAAACACTAGGCCACACGCTAGGGAGAGTGAACTCAGTGGGAAGGAACAAACACTAGGCCACAGGCTAGGGAGAGCGCACACAGTGGGAAGGAATAAACACTACGCCACAGGCTAGGGGGAGAGCACACAGTGGGAAGGAACAAACACTAGGCCACAGGCTAGGGAAAGAGCACACAGTGGGAAGGAACAAACACTATGCCACAGGCTAGGGGGAGAGCACACAGTGGGAAGGGACAAACACTAGGCCACAGGCTAGGGGGAGAGCACACAGTGGGAAAGAACAAATACTAGGCCACACGCTAGGGAGAGTGAACTCAGTGGGAAGGAACAAACACTAGGCCACAGGCTAGGGAGAGCGCACACAGTGGGAAGGAATAAACACTACGCCACAGGCTAGGGGGAGAGCACACAGTGGGAAGGAACAAACACTATGCCACAGGCTAGGGGGAGAGCACACAGTGGGAAGGAACAAACACTAGGCCACAGGCTAGGGAGAGTGCACACAGTGGGAAGGAACAAACACTAAGCCACAGGCTATGGAGAGCACACACAGTAGGAAGGAAGATCTCACAGTGACAGAGGAACTACCTCCACGCAGCTTTGAAAAGTTCAAGATACATGAGTGTTTAATATTCCCTCCAGGGACCAGAAAGGGAAATAAGATTGCTCAAGTAGTTCTTCAGTTAGAAATGAATCCCTGAAGTTCACTTAGTATTTGTGTGCATGCATACTTTTGTAAGTTTCTAAACTTTAACAAAATTGTAGCAAATAAGAATTTCCATACTTCCTTCAACTTCTCCAAGCACAGTTGTTTTCAGTCATCTGAGTACCTGCCTCCTGTTATATGCTAAACTACATCCCCTGTCCTAAATGACTAGATCAGTTTACCACCTGGATGGGTAAAAGCAAGCTCATTTATTTAAATAGTCCCCCTTTTCTTACTAAATTATTTGGAAGCCAAGACATATTATCTGTGACTACTAGGAACAGACAGTCACAGTAACAATGAATAACAGCACTACCTCAGATTTATATAGTTCTAAAATTTATCTTAAATTTATGGTACATCTATCACCTGGCTTTATTCTCCAAAGTATCATTTTACATGAGAAACAAGTGTTCTGTGATAACAGATAATAAAATTCAGGTCCACAAAAAATAAGGAACTAACCCAGGATCATTTATCTAATTAGTAATAAAATCAAAACTAAAACACAAATTTTCTAACTCATTTTATCCTTATTGGATAAATGCTAAAAACACTATATTCATAAATACCAGGCAAGGAGTAACACCGCTTACCTGAGACTCATATGTAGTGCTAGGTCCTGAACAATACGATTGTGCTTGCCAGAAGATGAGTGCTTCCCCAACCAGCTTGGGAAGCTGGGAAACTGGGTCATGTACCCTCTCATTAACTCTCCAGGAAGAACACTGGCATAAACAGCCTGAAAAAAATCAGTTGCAGTCCACAATTTAAATTTAGTACAGTTGCTTCATTAGCAGCTCTTGGCTTCCAAGCAGCCTCTGGGAAATGAAGCAGCACTGTCCCAGGTACCTAATTCCACCAGAGCAGTCAGGCCCTTTCCCTCTGTCTCTGATCTGCTGGTATGGGCGACTTCTCCCAGAGAGAACAACTAACTGATCACAGTAAAAGCTCTGCTCTAAAACGTGTTATGGTCCTTGATCGTCTTGCCAACTCAGCGTCCTCAACCAACTGATCTCAGCATACCAGTTAGTTCATGATGCCACAGTCACAGAAAAGACTTTGACAGGAATATGACTGTCTTAACATAAGCTATTGATAGCATGGGTTGACCAAAGCATAAAAAAATGTAGTAACTGGAGAATCAAGTAAATTGGCACTTGAGAAAAGTTTTTTAAAAAGTTATCCCTGCATATCTCCTACATCCACAGTTTTTTACTTTTTTAAAATTTATACAAAAATGTATCCTTTTATTCTAATAATACTCTTTCATACGCACCTTTCCATATTATATAATCTTTATAATTAATTTTAAAGGCTGCACAATGTTCCTTCAAGAGAATTTACCATAATTAATTATTCTCCTATTGCGGGACATGGAGATTTTCTCCAACTTTTTGCAATCAGAACTAACGCTTTAGGGAATATTTTTGTGCATTAAGCTTTCCCTATGTTTAAAATTATTTCTTTAGGATAAATTCTCAGAGGTATAATTATTAGGGAAAAAAATGAGCACTTTTAAGACATAAGAGAAAGGAGTCTTTATAGCCAGAGTCAGTCTTTTATTTTTTGTTTTCAAACAATGTGTGGGAAGAATTAACAAAACAGTAGGCCTTCCAGAAGCCCCTTGCTTATTACTCAGGCCAGTAATATTATATAAATATGCAAAACTCAAAAACAAGTAACACTCAATTAAAGTTTGCAAAACTCTGGTTTGAGTAAAAGGTAGCAACCTAATAAAGCACCCAATATAAAGTTGTCTCTTTAGCAAGGAAGAAGAAAATCAGAATTCATGTATGAGAAAAGTGCTGCTCACCTACTCCAGCTACATTGCTTCAAGGAAGAGCTACTTAGTAATCATCTGGGAAAGCAAGATTAACAAAAAAAGACATGGATTCTTAAGATAAAACAGAGCAGATGAACCTTGTGATTCACATCTTAGTTATGACCAAAATCAAATGTTCCTATTTCTAATGTTCATTTACATAAAAACATTTTGAAAGACTGAAAAATGTGGCTAGATTAAGAAATAGAAAAGTAGTCAAGTATTTTAATCTGTAACAGATTTTTGCCAAAACTGCCATAATGTTTATCTGGCATTTCAAATTACAGGAGCTAAAATTAGCTATCTTTCTCTTAAACTAAAGTAGAGTCTGCACTTTAAGGACAGCCCTGTTGCTTACCTGTGTGGGCAGAAGACCCCAGTTTTGCTTACTTCTGATCTGACGGTCCACTAGGTCGCCATCACATATGCTATCTGCTGCTCTGCTTAAAAGCATCAAGTGCTTTTTTACATCACCCCTACAGGAAAAAACCAGACTGGATCACATGACTGTCCACACTCCACACCCCTCTGTCCCAGGTATTTGGCCTTTCCAGGTATCTAGGAGGGCACTAATTCTACCCCTCACTAGCTCTGAACACTCACCCTGCAGCTACAGGCTTCACATGTATGTAGTTCTCTTGGACAAAGAGGGGTGCTATTGAATAATCATGAAAAAAGAGATCTAATTTGTCCACAAGTGACATATGAGCAGTCTCCTCTCCAATTGCAAACACTTTCCGGGCAACATCAAATGGGCCCTAAAAAGAGAGAGGGGCACACCTAGTAGTATGGCCAATATCCAAAACACTGACACCACCAAATGCTGGCAAAGATATGGAACAACAGGAAATCTCATTCACTGCTGGTAGGAATACAAAATGGCAGTCACTATGGAAGACAGATTTGTAGTTTCTTACAAAACTAAATATACTCTTACCATACCATCCAGCAATTGTGCTCCTTGGTATTTATCCAAATGAAGTGAAAATATATCCAAAAAAAAAAACCTGCACATGGATGTTTACAGCAGCTTTATTCATAATTGCCAAAACTTGGAAGCAATCAAGATCTCCTTGAATAGATTAATGGATAAATTGTGGTACATCCAGACACTGGAATATTATTCAGCACTAAAAAGAAATGAACTATCAAGCCATGAAAAGATGGAGAAAACTTAAATGCATATTACTAATTGAAAGATGCCAATCTGAAAAGTCTATGACTCCACCTATATGACATTCAGAAAAAGGTGATACTATGGAAAAGAAATATTAGTGGTGGCCAGAAGTTGGAAGGAGGGAAGGATGAACAGGCAGAGACAGAGGACTTTCGGGGCAGTGAAGTATTCTGTATGACAGATACTACAATGGTGGATACATGCCATCACGTATTTGTTAAAACCCACAGAATGAACAACACTAGAGTGGACCATAATGTAAACTATGGACTTTGGGTGACAATGATGTGTCAGTGTAGGTTCATCAATTGTCACAAATACACCACTCTGGTGGGAGATGTTGATAGTCAGGGGGAGGCTGTACAAGTATGGAGACAGTATATTGGGAAATCTCTGAACCACCTGCTTCCATTTTGCTATGAACCTAAAACTGCTCTTAAAAAGTTTACTAATTAAAAAAAGGTGGGGGAGAACACTACTTAATCATTATTCTAACTGTAATAATAAATCCTGACTAATGACTAGGTGAACTAGAACAGAGATCATTAATGTAGACCTCTAGTTTCAGAGAGGTCATTAACTAGAAACCATTTGAAAGAGATTATTCTGAACAGTCCCAGCACCATTCAAAACATGAAACCCATACAAAAGAGACTCCAGAAAAGCCATTTATTTTATAACTGCTGAAGCATGAGTATAATTAAAAACTTCCCTTCCTCCAAATTTATGATATACACTGACAGTTCCTGAGGAACAATTCATTTGAATAAGAAACACTTTTGACAGCTGTCTATATCACTTTTAAGTATCTGGAGGTTCTACAGGTGTGTCCAGTATTATAATAACTATTAACTTAATACCAACAGAACAAGAAATACTTTGGCTTGACAAAGTAACTAAGAAATGGAAATTTATTTTACCAGTTTGATATCCTTTCTGGCTCTATGAGAATCAGCCTTGGCCTGATCATAGGTTAGTGCCTTACTGCGTACACACCACATACTCAGATTGTGTAATACCTAGGAGAGTCACAAATAAGACATAGTCAAGATGGGAAGATACTGCCAGTTACCTTCCAAAAGGTTGAAGGCATTAATTCAAAAGAACCATCAACTGTTTTATGTTTTTATTTACCTGTCTGATATCTTGATTGGCTCCCAAGATTATTTCATTCAAAGCTGGAGGTGGGATCTTTAAACCCTCTTTAAATGCAATAGACATCATAGCACCCTGAAATTGACAAAGCCAAAGCTCCAATGATTTTTTTTTTAACTCAGATATTTAAAAAATATTTATCAGGTACATTTAAAAATGGATCCCAAAATAAATGGAAAAACAATTCCAATCATCATACCTTAATCTGTTCAACTCGAGGCCTTTGAAAACGAAGATCAAAACAATAATGAACCAAAGAACGAATCTTAGGATGATTTCTATCATTACACATACAGATAATGGGGATTTTTGTGTTTTTTATCAGGCCAATTAATTCCTGAAAAGGCAAATTTGCAACACAAAAATAGTTAACAATACAATAAAATACCACGTGTGCATTTTAAAAACCTTTTCAGCAACATGCTTTAATGGCCATAAATATCAAAGCATAATTCTTTAAATGTTTTTTTAAACTAAAAATCAACAGTAGAATTGCAAAACTACAGTGCTTTCATTACCTGAATTCCTCCCCTGTCTTCATTGCCTGCCATGCCATCTACTTCATCCATGATGAGAGCATGTCTCATGCTTACTGAATGGACTGCTCCACCTGGCCATTGAAAAGCAATGGGATGGGGTAAGAACAAAATAACAATTGTTCAAACTGCTGTTTTATTATTTTTTTAATGTAACCATTTTAAACTGATAATACAGGTTGGTACAAAACCCAAAAGGTACAAGTATATAGTGAAAAATTCTCCTTCCCACCTTTGCCACCTAGGGTATCCAGTTTCCCTCTCCAGAGGCCAAGAATGAATACTCTCATGTATATGCTCTAAGAGATATTCTATACATATTTTAAACTGCATAAAAATATACAACATGGTTTTATCACTAAGTATATTTTGGTGATATGTACATTGTCAGGAGACATAGAACACCTCATTTTTTTTTGGCTGTTGAAAATTCCATTTTAGACATGTATGAGTAATCACTATTGATAAAAAATGATGTTTCCAATCCATATATATATATATGGATTGGAAACATCATATACACAGTATAACAATTGTAAATTCCAGGAATTGGAACTTCTGGGGTAAGGGAATATTTATTTAATTTCACTTTGAAAAATATTGACAGATTGCTCTCCAGAGCTGTATCAATTTACACTGCCATGAGCCATGTCTAAGAGCAATGTTTCCTAAGCAAATTCTTTTTAACAATTTTCTACCACTGAAAGTACTAAGAAGTCTGGTAACCAGGCAACATACCATAGGTTCTAAACATGCACTATTTAGTCTGTAATTTGGGTGTCCTGTTTTCCCCACAAACTCTAGCCATGCCAGGCCATGAGGGCCTGGGACACAGAGGCACTTTCATGCTGCACCTTTTTCCCTCCTCCACTACCTTAGCCTTCATATCACGGTATTGATTAACCTCTTCCACCCACAAATGATTCTCTCTCTTACTCTTCAAGGCCCTTCAAACAAATCATCCTTTTATTAGCAAAGCTTCCCCCAGTGCCCCAAACAGAATCACTTCTCCATCTACAGGCCTCATTACCTCACTCATCACTCTATTAGTTATTTATTTTACCTCTTCACAGGATTCATCTGTGAATCCTCTAAAATGATATGCAAAATGCTTAAGAATGTTATTGTATACATTTTTATCACATTCTCAGAAAACTCTTAAGACCTAAAGAAAAAAATAACCATTGTCCTGTAAGAGTTCTGTTAGAGGGCTTTCTTATTCCCTCATCAGCTCCAGGATTTAGCAGGGTGCCTGGCACATAGAAATGTCCAATACTGGTTACTGAACATTGAAATGAACTTGTTTTCTCACATAATCAAAAAAAAGCAGTTCAAAAACCCACATACCTGAATAAAAGCCCTTGATGCTGGTATTATTTAGTGATTCAGCAACAATCTCCTTTAAGCTGTTTTTACTCCGAGTATCACTTGCATTCAGTTCCACGAAGCTATATCCCAATTCCTAATCAAAATATTGGAAACCATTACTATCACAATGCAAATTACCAACTCTCTCAAACAAAGCAAGGCAACTGAGGTAGAAAACTCATAGAAGGAACCACAAGTAAAAAAAAGACAAAGTATGATACTAACAGATAATGAGATTACTTTTACCTCACAATATAAAGAAAATTTTTAAAATATCACATATAAACATACCACACACACATAAACACAAACAAGTTTGGCCTTAAAACCTTAGCTGATAAGTCACTCATCTGGAAGAACGTATCTGAGACAATTTTACTAAGTTTGCTTCTTAAAGTCCTATGAATAATTAAATAGAATCACCCCATGATTTCAGTATCAGATATAGAATTACAAGAAACTAAAAGAAATTCTTGACTCTTCAAAATCAATTATAAAATTAAATCACTCTTCATGAAACTATCCCAAGATACTATCTTCCTCTCAAATCATGAAAAATCAAGTTATTCTGGGGAGATTCAAGATGGCGGCATGAGAGGTGAGACAGAGAATTCCTCCCAAAACCACATATAGTATGAAAATACAGTCAATACAACTAGCTCTAAAACAGCGACAGGAAAGAAGGCTGCACCAGACTGCGTACAGACCTCACAAAGAGAGCAGATCTCACAAAACAGGGTAAAGTACAAAAGCCTTGATCTGGTAGGACCCAAACCCTTCCCCCACCTCAGCTCACCAGTGGGAGGAAGAGAAACGGAGCCAGGAGGGGGTGGAAGCCTAAGACTGCTAAACACCCAGCCCTGGAGACCTGCTTTGGAGCACAAACCTACATTGTGTGGTGCTCTGGAGGTTAGTGGGATTGGGGAGCGGGGACAGGCGGAGTGCTTGACAGACTGAGATTCCGGCCATTTGTGGAGGACGGGGATCCACATCCAGCCACTCTGGGAAAAAGGAAAGGCAGGCGGTCTGAGAGGCTTCCTAGCAGTGAGAGGGCTGCTGAAGGGGTGGGGTTTGCACTGAGCTTGCTATGCAGGAGAAGGGATAGGTGGACAGGGTTGTCTGGGCGCACTCTTCCCAGCAGGTTCGACACTTTGAGGAGCTTCAGGTGCTCCATCCCCCTGGCAGCCTACTCAGCTCCAAGGCTCACTGTGACACGCAGCCTGCTGCACCTTCCTCCTGGCCTGTCAGCAAACCAGCAGTCACTGCGCTGGCATCAGGCCAGCCAGAGGGAGGCCCCGCCTACAACAGCTAGAGACGACAGGCACAAAGGCTTACATCTGTGTGCTCAGCCCACTGGCCCTGATACTGGAGACAGGCACTGCAGCGGGGAATTAGGAAACAGCTCTTTCCTCCCCACAGGCACCAGCACCGCTCCCCTACGACCCCCAACCTCACTCTAGGGGATGAGCAGCTCCAGAGAATAGAGCTTCTGGGCACTCAGAGGGCACCACATAGAATTATGAAATGCCAAAGGAGCCTGGTTCAGACCAAAATCTCACAAACCCCAGAAAAAGGGCTAAATGAAACTGAACTTACCAACCTTTCTGAAAGAGAATTTAACATAAAAATCATAAACATGCTCATGGAGTTACAGAAAACTATTCAAGAATGCAGGAACAAATTTAAGATAGAGATTCAATCATTAAGAAATGCCATATCTGAAATGAAACATACAATGGAGGGATTTAAAAGCAGATTAGATGTAGTAGAAGAGAGGGTAAATGGAATAGAAATTAGAGAAGAAGAATACAAAGAAGCTGAGGCACAGAGAGAAAAATGGATCTCTAAGAATGAAAGAATATTGAGAGAATTGTGTGACCAAACAGAACAATATCCACATTATAGGGGTACCAGATGAAGAAGACAGAGAAAAAGGGATAAAAAGTGTTATTGAGGAGGTAATTGCTGAAAAATTCCCCAATCTGGGGAAGTAGATAGTCTCTCAAGCCATGAAGATGCACAGATCTACCAACACAACGGACCCAAGGAAGACAACACCAAGACATATAATGAGTAAAATGGCAAAGATCAAGGATAAAGACAGACTTTTAAAAGCAGCTAGAGAGAGAAAACAGATCACATACAAACGAAAACCCATCAAGCTATCATCAGATTTCTCAACAGAAACCTTACAGTCCAGAAGAGAGTGGCATGATATATTTAATGCAATGAAGCAGAAGGGCCTCAAACCAAGAATACTCTACCCGGCAAGATTATCATTTAAATTTGAAGGAGGGTTTAAACAATTTTCAGATTAGCAAAAGCTGAGAGAATTTACCTCCCACAAAACACCTCTACAATGCATTTTGGAAGGACTCCTATAGATGGAAGCATTCTTAAGGCTAAATAGATATCACCAGGGGAAATAAAACTACAGCAAAGGAGAACAATTAATTACTAAGCAGATGCAAAATCAAATCACTACCCACAAAGTCAATCAAGAGATAGACAAAGAGTACAGAATATGATACCAAACATATAAAGAACAGAGTAAGAAGAAAAAAGAGGAAAATAAAAAAAGAATCTTTAGGTTGTGTTTGTAATAGCATATGAAGTGAGTTAAATTAGACTATTAGATAGTAATGGAATTACTCTTGGACCTTTGGTAACCACAAATCTAAAGCCTGCAGTGGCAATAAGTACATGCCTATCAATAATCACCCTAAATGTAAATGGTCTGAATGTACCAATCCAAAGATATAGTCACTGAATGGATAAAAAAACAAGACCCATCTATATGCTGCCTACAAGAGACTCACTTCAAACCCAAAGACATATATAGACTGAAAGTAAAGGGATGGAAAAAGATATTTCATGCAACTAATATGGAGAAAAAAGCAGGAGTTGCAACACTTGTATCAGACAAATTAGACTTCAAAACAAAGTAAGTAACAAGAGACAAAGAAAGACATTATATAATGATAAAGAGGTCAGTTCAACAAGAGGATATAATTATTATAGATATCTATGCACCCAACACAGGATCAACTACATATATGAAACAAATGCTAACAGAATTAAAGTGGAAAATAGAATGCAATGCATTCATTTTAGGAGACTTCAACACACCACTCACTCCAAACGACAGATCAGCCAGACAAAAAACAAGTAAAGAGACAGAATCACCGAACAACATATTAGAACAGATGGACCTAACAGATATCTACAGAACACTCCACCCAAAAGTAGCAGGATACACATTCTTCTCAAGTGCACATGGAACATTTTCAAGAATAGAGCATATACTAGGCCACAAAAAGAGCCTCAGTAAGTTCAAAAAGATTGAAATTGTACCAAACAGCTTCTCAGATCACAAAGGTATGAAACTGGAAATTACACCAAGAAAATGAAAAAGCCCACAAACACATGGAGGCTTAATGACATGCTCCTAAATAATGAATGGATCAATGACCAAATAAAAACAGAGATAAAGCAATATATGGAGACAAAAGACAACAATAATTGAACACTGCAAAATCTGTGGGACGCACTGAAGGCCGTGCTAAGAGGAAAGTATATTGCAATACAGGCTTACCTCAGGAAAGAAGAACAACCCCATATGAACTGTCTAAACTCACAATTAACAAAACTAGAAAAGGAAGAACAAATGAGGCCCAAAGTCAGTAGAAGGAGGGACATAATAAAGATTAGAGCATAAATAAATAAAATTGAGAAGAATAAAACAATAGAAAGAATCAATGAAAGCAGGAGCTGGTTCTTTGAGAAAATAAACAAAATAGATAAACCCCTAGCCAGACTTTTAAAGAAAAAAAGAAAGTCTAACACATAAACAGAATCAGAAATGAGAAAGGAAAAATCACTATGGAAAATACAAACAATTATGAGAGAATACTATGAAAATTTATATGCTAACAAACTGGATAACCTAGAAGAAATAGACAACTTTCTAGAAAAATACAACCTTCCAAAGCTGACCCAGGAAGAAACAGAAAATCTGAACAGACAAATTACCAGCAACAAAATTGAATTGGTAATCAAAAAACTACCTAAGAACAAAACTCCTGGACCAGATGGTTTCACTACCGAATGTTATCAAACATTTAGTGAAGACCTGATATCTATGCTCCTAGAAGTTTTCCAAATAGTAGAAGAGGAGGGAATACTCCCAAACTCATTCTATGAGGCCAACATCACTCTAATACCAAAACCAGGCAAAGACACCACAAAAAAAGAAAATTACAGACCAATATCCCTGATGAACATACATGCAAAAATACTCAACAAAATATTAGCAAACCGAATTCAAAAATACATCAAAAAGATCATCCTACATGATCAAGTGGGATTCATCCCAGTGATACAAGGATGATACATTTGAAAATCCATCAACATTATCCACCACATCAACAAAAAGGACAAAAACCACATGATTATCTCCATAGATGCTTAAAAAGCATTCGACAAAATTCAACATTCATTCATGATAAAAACTCTCAACAAAATGGGTAAAAAAGGGCAAGTACCTCAATATAATAAAGGCCATATATGACAAACCCACAGCCAACATTATACTTAACAGCTAGAAGCTGAAAACTTTTCTTTTAAGATCGGGAACAAGACAAGAATGCCCACTCTCCCCACTTTTTTTCAACATAGTTCTGGAGGTCCAAGCCATGGCAATCAGACAACACAAAGAAATAAAAGGCATTCAGATTGCTAAGGAAGTCAAACTGTCCCTATTTGCAGATGACATGATATTGTATATAAAAAGCCCTAAAGAATCCACTCCAAAACTACTAGATCTAATATCTGAATTCAGCAAAGTTGCGGAATACAAAATTAATACATAAAAATGTGTTGCATTCCTATACAGTAACGATGAACTAGCAGAAAGAGAAATCAGGAAAACAATTCCATTCACAGTTGCATCAAAAACAATACCAAGGAAGTGAAAGACCTATACTCTGAAAACTACAAGACACTCATTAGAGAAATTAAAGAAGATACTAATAAGTGGAAATACATCTGTGTTCATGGATAGGAAGAATAAATATTGTCAAAATCGTCATCCTGCCCAAAGCAATCTACAGAGTCAATGCAATCCCTATCAAAATACCAACAGCATTCTTCAATGCACTAGAGCAAATGGTTCTAAAATTCATATAGAACCACAAAAGACCCCAAATAGCCAAAGCAAACCTGAAAAGGAGGAATAAAGCGGGGGGAATTATGCTCCCTGACTTCAAGCTCTACTACAAAGCCACAGTAATCAAGACAATTTGGTACTGGCACAAGAAGTGACCCATAGACCAATGTAACAGACTGAAGAGCCCAGATATAAACCCAAGCATATATGGTCAATATGCGATAAAGGAGCCAAGGATATACACTGCAGAAATGAGAGCCTCTTCAACAACTGGTGTTGGCAAAATTGGACAGCTATATGTAAGAGAATGAAACTGGATCACTGTCTAACACCGTACACAAAAGCAAACTCAAAATGGATCAAAGACCTGAATGTAAGTCATGAAACCATAAAACTCTTAGAAAAAAACAGGCAAAAATCTCTTGGACATAAACATGAGCAACTTCTTCATGAACATATCTCCCCAGGCATGGGAAACAAAAGCAAAAATGAACAAGTGGGACTATATCAAGCTGAAAAGCTTCTGTACAGCAAAGGACACCACCAATAGAACAAAAAGGCATCCTACAGTATAGGAGAATCTATTCATATATGACAGATCTGATAAGGGGTTGACATCTAAATTATATAAAGAGCTCACGCACCTCAACAAACAAAAAGCAAATAATCTAGTTAAAAAACGGGCAGAGGAGCTGAACAGACACTTCTCCAAAGAAGAAATTCAAATGGCCAACAGGCACATGAAAAGATGCTCCACATTGCTAATCATCAGAGAAATGCAAATTAAAATCACAATGAGATATCACCTCACACCAGTTAGGATGGCCAACATCCAAAAGACAAATGAGAAATGTTGGCGAGGATGTGGAGAAAGGAGAACCATACTACACTGCTGGTGGGAATGTAAAACAGTTCAACCATTGTGGAAAGCAGTATGGAGGTTCCTCAAAAAACTAAAAATAGAAATACCATTTGACCCAGGAATTCCCTCCTAGGAATTTACCCTAAGAATGCAGCAGCCCAGTTTGAGTAAGACATATGCACCCCTATGTTTATCATAGCACTATTTACAATAGCCAAGAAATGGAAGCAACCCAAGTGTCCATCAGTAGATGAATGGATAAAGAAGATGTAGTACATATACACAATGGAATATTATTCAGCCATAAGAAGAAAACTAATCCTACCATTTGCAACAACATGGATGGAGCTAGAGGGTATTATGCTCAGTGAAATAAGCCAGGTGGAGAAAGACAAGTATCAAATGATTTCACTCATCTGTGGAGTATAAGAACAAAGAAAAAATTGAAGGAACAAAACAGCAGCAGACTCACAGAACCCAAGAATGGACTAATAGTTACCAAAGGGAAAGGGACTGGGAAGGATGAGTGGGATGGGAGGGCTAAGGGGAAAAGGGGGCATTACAATTAGCACATATAATGTAGCGGGGGGCACGGGGAGGGCTGTACAACACAGAGAAGACAAGTAGTGAATCTACAGCATCTTACTATGCTGATGGACAGTGACTGCAATGGGGTATGTGGTGGGGACTTGATAATAGGGGGAGTCTAGTAACCATAATGTTGTTCATGTAACTATACAGTAATGATAGCAAAATAAAAAAAATAAAAAAATAAAGTTACTCTGATTCATTTCCCAAAATGCATCATTATATCGATTATAAGGAACTATAAAAGGCTTTAATTCAATTCCCAAAAAAATTAATGATTATAATAAATGGAGCAAAGAATCATGTTCACAATTGTAGAGACTAAGGAAAAAATATGTTTTTTCATGTTTTTTCAACTTTATAAATAGAAAGCGTCTTACATCAGCTTCTTACATCAGGTATATAAAATATTTGCATCTATTTAAGGGACTATAAGACATACTTATATTATGTGTAAGATAATATACCAAAGGGCTTACTTAGCACACAGCCTGGCACAGAAGTAAATATTTTTCATTATTATAAATACCAATACTTTTTCAAGAATGAAAAGTATACAGAATTGTATTAGAACAGGCTAAAATACATATCCCACACACATGCATGCACCTTTATCTCTTACACATGCCCACGCCTAGGTTACCTTTCCACCCGCACTTGGATGGAACACCCACCTGACAAACCAGAGAAGCTGTGGTGGTTTTGCCAACACCTGGAGGGCCTGAGAGCAACGCTGCCTTAAAACTAGAGCCATCGTCTTTGCCAGCAAATTTACCAAACTTTGCTCCTAGGAAAAAAAGTTCCAAATTGTTAATCCGTATTACTTAATAGAAATTCAGAAATGATTGTACATAAACTTAACATCAAGAACAGTCCTCCAGTTCAGTTCTAAATTTGCAGAGTATTTTCTACAAGGTATAAACAACAATCTCCAGAGCATTTAGTGAAATTCTACTCCCGACCTCAGCTCCACCCAAAATAAAAAACTAAAACTGATTTGGAGCAATAATTTCTTGAGTTTCCTTTCCTACAATAGCAGAGGTCATGGAGAGAGAATACCTGGGTCTGACCCTAACTCCATCACTTCCCAGCAGGGAGAACTGCAAAAGTGACTTACCCCTCTGTGCCTCTTGCCTCCTTTGCAAAATTATAGTAACAGGACTGTGCCTGGTACTGATCTCTGAGGAAGAACATGCTGAGCACAGAGCTGGGTGTGCCTCAATAAATACTAACAAACATAATCAGCTACATGATTACAAAAAGAATGAAAATATTTCTGCATCTTGCACAGCTCAACTCTAAGGCATTCTTCCTCCCCTTATCATACGGGTGCCGGGCACATAGAAGGTACTCAGCACATACAACAATGAATGAGAGAGAGAGGGCTAAACCCACTGTGGGCATGAGAAAAGAGGCTATAGCTCACCTGAAGGCTTAAAAAGACTTCTCCAGGCACAAAAAGAACTTATAACCTCTTCTATGGTAGACTTTAGGTGGTTTTAGAAAGAGAAAAGGAGTCAACTTATATTAACTGTGTTTCATTACAATTGTTATCATCTAATTGTTATAAATAGACTGGCATCATAGGCCAATGTCTAATGACCACCTAGATGCTAAGCGAGTCATCACTGTGGGAATTCACCGCAATGCTCACTACATTTTGCCTTCTTATTTCTCACGCAGTATTCCCCAGGGCTGTGGCTGAAGCTCAAGAAAACACTAACACTTGTGATCCAAAACCTAGTTCCAGTAATACTTTGGACATTAAGTATACATTGTGACTATTCATTTTCCATGAAAAATACATGGTCAATAAGCACAAAGACTAGAGAAGCTCAGGCCTGAAAGGCCTACAAAAAGCAAACATGCTACTAGGATTTTCAGGCTGTCCACTCCTTAGAAGTCCTCAGCTATTTATTTGCACTTTTCCCCAAGTCCCCTTGGCACTCTCAAATCTCTCTCTCACGTCTTTAGACCTTGGTATATGTATTTCCCAGACCAACACCACCACCCCCTTCACCTAGTTAACTCCTACCTAACTTCCAAGTCTCAATTTAGACAACCCTTCCTCCAGGGATGTGAGCACACATCCTCATCCCTCACCACACACCTACTACATCCCCTCAGCACTCTAGTTTTACCACTATAACAGTACTCAGCACACACATTTTATTGCTGGCTGACATATGCATCCTCCACTGACTGTGCACCCCTTAAGGGGTTTCTGTTTTGTTCATAACATCACCTCTGGAGTCTAGTAGAACACCTGGGCTCACAGCAGCATCTCAATAAACACTTGCTGAGGGATGAATGAATCAAATGTTACACTTTTTCACATATGTGCAACTGAGCAATTACATGGTGACAGACACACACAAAAAAATGAATGAAGCTACAAAATCACCACATTTCTTATCTTCAGATGGGCTCCTGTGCCAGTGTTGGAGCCAGCGAAAGAGTTTGTTGGCACAGCTCTGGTCACCTTGCTGTCCAATTATGGTCTTGAGCGAGGTTGGCTTATATTTATCCACCCAGAGCAAATTTTCCACTTTGTTTTCACTGCCATCATCAGTGAAATTCCTAGCCCAGCTGTCACCATTTGTCTCCTCAGCCTCCTGCTCCTTGAAGTCCAGGCCTCTCCAAATCACATTTGTGTCCTTTTTTATGGACTTTGTAGAGCTGTTCCTTTTGGGAGTCAATCTGCTCTTTTTAGATTCTGATTCCTTCTTAGTAGGACTAATTTTTCTTTTTCCTTGGTCATTTTTTTGGGGTGTTCTTTCCAATTTGGACTTTTCTTTCTTCATCTTAGAAATCGGAAAAGTGAGGGGAAAAAAAAACCTGATGAATGATACAGAATTTCTGTCTTGCTAAGTGTACTCTACAGGGCAATCTGAAATATCCAAGTGAGCTACCCAACCTGGGACAGTCTTTCCCCATGGAGCCTTATGTTTGTGGAAATCACCACCTTCCATACTTTATGAAAACTAGCAACAGACACCAAAAAGCACCCAAATGCTGTTTTTTAAAAACAAGAACATACTAGTTTTTAAAAGTAGTCCAAAATCAGTTTGAAAAAACAGGTGAAGGATTAAGAAATTTTGTTTCACTTTTCTAGTTAGTTAGTTCCAAGTTAATGCCTCCACAAAAACTTATGCACAAATGTTCATAGTGGCATTATGACACACATACACATATACATATATATGTAATTATAGCCCAAAAATGAAAACAACTTAAAATGACCATCAACCGAAAAATAAACAAACTGTGGTATATACACCCAATGGAGTATTAATCACCAAAAAGGGGGGTGAAGTGCTAATACAGGCTCTAACATAGCTGAACCTTGAAAATATAATGCTAAGTAAAAGAAGCCAGACGCAAAGGGCCACATATTGCATGGTTTCTTTATATGAAATGTCCAGAATAGGCAAATAGAGACAGAAAGTAGAGCAGTGGCTGCCAGGGGGTGGGTATGAGGACTAACTGCTAAGGTGTACAGAGTTTCTTTTGCAGGTGATGAATATGTTCTGGAATTAGATAGCAGTGAGCTGCAGAATCACTTGAACACATTAAGAATCACTGGCACACATTTTAAAAAGTGAATATTTTGGTGTGTGCATAAGATCTCAAAAAAACATTAGCGCTTCATTACCAGTGAGTGGACGCTAAAATTAGTGGATAAATGTTTGAGTAGAAACAGGCTAAATACTTAGCACAGTATTAAAGTATTTTCCCAAGATATTTATCAATTGCAAAGGGAAAAAGAATCACTTTATTAGTGATTAGGAATCATCTTAACAAAGTAATCAAGGTTAATGTCACCAACAATAAGACATACCACATCACACACATCTGATACGATGCACTGAAAAGGACACTATCACTTCAAGGTATTCTTGCCAAAAATGAACAACCTCAATCTAATCATAAGAAAACATCAATCAAACATGCTACTAGGATTTTCAGGCTGTCCACTCCTTAGAAGTCCTCAGCTATTTATTTGCACTTTTCCCCAAGTCCCCTTGGCACTCTCAAATCTCTCTCTCACGTCTTTAGACCTTGGTATATGTATTTCCCAGACCAACACCACCACCCCCTTCACCTAGTTAACTCCTACCTAACTTCCAAGTCTCAATTTAGACAACCCTTCCTCCAGGGATGTGAGCACACATCCTCATCCCTCACCACACACCTACTACATCCCCTCAGCACTCTAGTTTTACCACTATAACAGTACTCAGCACACACATTTTATTGCTGGCTGACATATGCATCCTCCACTGACTGTGCACCCCTTAAGGGGTTTCTGTTTTGTTCATAACATCACCTCTGGAGTCTAGTAGAACACCTGGGCTCACAGCAGCATCTCAATAAACACTTGCTGAGGGATGAATGAATCAAATGTTACACTTTTTCACATATGTGCAACTGAGCAATTACATGGTGACAGACACACACAAAAAAATGAATGAAGCTACAAAATCACCACATTTCTTATCTTCAGATGGGCTCCTGTGCCAGTGTTGGAGCCAGCGAAAGAGTTTGTTGGCACAGCTCTGGTCACCTTGCTGTCCAATTATGGTCTTGAGCGAGGTTGGCTTATATTTATCCACCCAGAGCAAATTTTCCACTTTGTTTTCACTGCCATCATCAGTGAAATTCCTAGCCCAGCTGTCACCATTTGTCTCCTCAGCCTCCTGCTCCTTGAAGTCCAGGCCTCTCCAAATCACATTTGTGTCCTTTTTTATGGACTTTGTAGAGCTGTTCCTTTTGGGAGTCAATCTGCTCTTTTTAGATTCTGATTCCTTCTTAGTAGGACTAATTTTTCTTTTTCCTTGGTCATTTTTTTGGGGTGTTCTTTCCAATTTGGACTTTTCTTTCTTCATCTTAGAAATCGGAAAAGTGAGGGGAAAAAAAAACCTGATGAATGATACAGAATTTCTGTCTTGCTAAGTGTACTCTACAGGGCAATCTGAAATATCCAAGTGAGCTACCCAACCTGGGACAGTCTTTCCCCATGGAGCCTTATGTTTGTGGAAATCACCACCTTCCATACTTTATGAAAACTAGCAACAGACACCAAAAAGCACCCAAATGCTGTTTTTTAAAAACAAGAACATACTAGTTTTTAAAAGTAGTCCAAAATCAGTTTGAAAAAACAGGTGAAGGATTAAGAAATTTTGTTTCACTTTTCTAGTTAGTTAGTTCCAAGTTAATGCCTCCACAAAAACTTATGCACAAATGTTCATAGTGGCATTATGACACACATACACATATACATATATATGTAATTATAGCCCAAAAATGAAAACAACTTAAAATGACCATCAACCGAAAAATAAACAAACTGTGGTATATACACCCAATGGAGTATTAATCACCAAAAAGGGGGGTGAAGTGCTAATACAGGCTCTAACATAGCTGAACCTTGAAAATATAATGCTAAGTAAAAGAAGCCAGACGCAAAGGGCCACATATTGCATGGTTTCTTTATATGAAATGTCCAGAATAGGCAAATAGAGACAGAAAGTAGAGCAGTGGCTGCCAGGGGGTGGGTATGAGGACTAACTGCTAAGGTGTACAGAGTTTCTTTTGCAGGTGATGAATATGTTCTGGAATTAGATAGCAGTGAGCTGCAGAATCACTTGAACACATTAAGAATCACTGGCACACATTTTAAAAAGTGAATATTTTGGTGTGTGCATAAGATCTCAAAAAAACATTAGCGCTTCATTACCAGTGAGTGGACGCTAAAATTAGTGGATAAATGTTTGAGTAGAAACAGGCTAAATACTTAGCACAGTATTAAAGTATTTTCCCAAGATATTTATCAATTGAAAAGGGAAAAAGAATCACTTTATTAGTGATTAGGAATCATCTTAACAAAGTAATCAAGGTTAATGTCACCAACAATAAGACATACCACATCACACACATCTGATACGATGCACTGAAAAGGACACTATCACTTCAAGGTATTCTTGCCAAAAATGAACAACCTCAATCTAATCATAAGAAAACATCAAACAAATCCAAACTGATAGACATTCTACAAAACAACTAGTACTCACTGAAAATGTCAAGGTCATGAGACAGCAAAGAAATACTAAGGAACTGTCATAGAGGTGGGAGGACACTAAGAAGATGACATACCTACATGTAACATGAGATTCTGGAACAGAAAAAGGACACTAGGGGGAAAATGTGAAGTTCAAATAACATGTAATTTTAGTTAATGGTGTGCATCAATGTCGTTCCTGGTTTTGATAACTGCACTAGAGTTATGTTAAGTTCTTAATGTCAGGGACACTGGGTGAAAGGCCGATCCAAATTCATTCCCCAAGATTTTCTAACTGGAGTAAGTAAAGCCTACCTTGCCACTTGGTGACAAAGTTGAGGACAATGAACTCAGGCTGCTGACACCCCTGGCTCCCACAGATGGAAAAGACACATATATATACAGGGACTATATACAGCAGGAATGAATAGGCGAACACTAGGAGAAGCACACAGACACTCAAAGAGTCCTAAAAGCTCTGTAGTCTCTAGATCCAGTAGTTCCTACACCAGACCCACCCTACCCACAGTTTAGTTATGTGAGCCAATATTTTTTTTCCATTTTAATCATTAGTTTTATTGACAATTACATTCCTATCTTTCCAATATCTATGTAAGCCAATATTTGTCCCTTTTTGCTAGTTAGTATGTGCTGGGTTTCTGTCACAACTGAAAAACCCTAATATAGTTCTAAATGAAAATGAATTTATCATGCCGATATCTACACCATATCCTTTAAAGAACAGTTAAACAATAACCTTTGTGCAAAGGCACTGCAAGAATATGAAAAATACCGAAAGTTTACTAGATAGATATGGTATGCACCTCTTCTCCCTCTCTCCTCATACTCCTTTGAGAAAAGTAAAGAAATACACCAAAGAAGACAGCCCAAAGCAGAGCACACCTACTCAAAAGGAAATACGGTAGGTTCATTTGTGGTAGAAGGGAAAGCTAATCTTTTAGCCAATAAACCTGTAGCCACCCAAGAAATGTCTATAAAACAGGGAAGTTGCTGAATACACCAAACTAAGTAAATCAAGTTCATTTTATACAAACCTCAGCTTCAACTGCTATTTCATACTTGGACTTCTTGCCTGGCATAGTTCGAATCAGATTCAACAAGCCATCTTCATCAGTAATTTTTGTCCCCAAGGCTGCTGCCTATTGATTAAAAATACAAATCATTAAAACCACATCCAAACCATTACTTTCTGGAAAGAAAAAAATATGATCCTAGGGTCTATTAGTAGGTGAAAACCACAGTTGCAAATTAGATAACACTGGAACACTTTTTTAAACTATATGCATGAAAAAGTGGCATTAAAAAGAAAAATGACACATCCCCTAGGAGTAATGGGTTGGCACCTGCAGTGGCACATTACCACTTTTGTGGATCACTTTACCTTCCCCTCTGCCCTAGAAAGGGCAAAGCCATGTGGGCCAAAGTCCAGCTCCTCATGCCTTCTCCCAGGATTGACTCATCTAGCAGACATTTTTCCACACCTTCTTCCTAACAGAATTTCAAATGTGTCCAACTGCCAAGTGATGAATTATGATTGGTCTAAGAATCAGAAAAGTCACCACCTTCTCCCACTTCCTTCATAAACCCTGAATGGCCATGTGACCACTCTGGCCAATAACTTAAGTAGAGTTATTCTCCAAAAGGTGTTTCCAAGAAAATTCTTAGGCCACTCACAGCTAGTATGACATCTTGCTGCTCCATTTTTTCCTGTCTTGAATGTGGACATGAATGCCTAGAGCAGCAGCTACCTTGCAATGCAACACAACATGCACAATGACCAAAGCTAACATGGTAGGGACGACAGAGGTGGAGCACAGAACTAGCCTAACTACATTACTGAGCTGCTCAACCTTCCTCAGCAACTGTCTACCTCTGGAATTCTTGTTAGGTAAGGAAATAAGCAGCTATTTATCAAAAACAGTTAGCCAGGTATTCTGTTATTGGAGCTAAACACAATCCTACCCAACAGACATATCAAGAAAAA